GATGATCCAGAGAGCCGCCCGACTGCGAGTGGGAGTAGCCAAGGCAAAGGTGGTCACCGCGTGCCGGGCAGCCATCAAGAACAACAACATGGCGGCGCTGTTCAAGATCATACGCGATGGAGATGGGCACGTGTGAGGGGGGGGGGGGTGGCGGCGAGAGGGGTGGAGAGGGGTTTCCGCCGGGGGGGGCCCCGTGGATATGTGTGTGTGTGTGTTGCGCATTAAGAGCGGCGCTTATTGAAGACGCGTGTAGAAATCGGTGTGGTGGAACAACGTGTGTGTGTGAGAGCTGGGAAGGGGCGCCATGTGCCTGTGCCTGTGTGTGTGTGTGTATCTGTGTATGTTCACGGCATCAGCACGTGAGCCGCTCTGAGCGGGGTGAATGCAACACCTTCCCCCCCATCTCCCTCGGTTTGGTCCCTTTGTCGTTTGCCCGGCTAAGCCAGATCAGGTCACGGACCTTGGGGGGGTGTACGTTCGTTTACTCAGTATGTTGTTACAGGGTGGTTAACTTCGCCAGCGGTCCCCTTTCCCTTGGAGGCAGTTCCCTGCTCTCCCCTGCGAGAGGGGCACCCTAATCCGTTCACCCCATCCGACTTCAGAGCGTATTCGTTGGGTTCAGCAACTCACCACCAGCATCCAACCAAATCTAGCGGATGAACGGCGCCTCAACTTAGTTTACTGTTGGATCTTAGATCTTGGACATCGTACGGACGACACATTGCAGTGGTGCATGAGGGCGTGCGCCTGGATTGGCGGCTTGGAGGTGCCATGCAGTATAGCTGGTGGTGGTGGTGTGTGTGTGTGGGGGGGGGGAAATGGAGAAATGAGTGTGCATTGCGAAACCGGTGTATGTAGGGGGCGAAGGCCAACCAATAATGGGGGTCTACGATTTGGCTCCCTCACCGCCTTGTGTATCGATGTGCATAGCGTGCGCGCGTGTGCGTATGCATTTATGCATGTATGTGTGTGTATATATGTATGTATGTCTATATGTATGTATGTGGGGGTGTGGGGCACGGCATCTGCACAGGCCGCACCTGGAGGGATGTACCGCACCGGGGCGCGAACTCGGGGCTTTCTCGGGCTGACTCGACTGGACAAACAGACACACAGACAAACCAATGGCCCAGTGTGGGTGTGAACAAACATTAAGGACACGGATATAAATGGATAGGAGTTAAGATTTAAAACAAGTCGGGTTTCGGCTTCCTCGAAGCCGGAAAAAGGGCGGGCCCCCCCTGCATCCGTACAGGCCGGTAGCTAGCGCGGCACGTGTGACAATTGATGGGTAGTGTCAACGCGGTGGGAGATGTGCTTTGTTGCAGCAGTGCTGATGGTGTGAGAGCTAAGCTTGCACCGGCGGAATCGTCAGCACCGCCTGCGGGCTTCACGCGAATCGCATCCATCCCATGCCGCATGGACAGTGCGGCAGACCGCAAGTCGGAATGCCCGTGCAGGCAAATGGTAACGCAAGCTGGGTGAAGTTCGGTGCTGTCTGTGATGTTTATCCCCGAAGCGCCAGCGGCCTCAGCAATCCGCCCCACAGCCGCGGGCTTCATCGGGGCACACCGCAACTCTTCGGAGGCCCCGTGCATTGGCCAAAGTAAATGTACAAACAAGCAGCTTGTGTATTTCATAGAGAAATGAAAGCAAATTATGTTGGCCTGCTGGTGGCAACTCGGATTGCCCATGCCGGCAAATGGTAACACAAGCTGGGTGTTCGAGTTATCCTACGCCGTCATCTCAGATTTCCATTATGAGATACGCGGCAGCTTTCGGGATGAAATTTAGCGCGAGAGGCGTTGATGTGACTTTTGAGGTCGGTGAATGGAGGCAGCTAAACTTGTTTGTGCTCATACGGTCTTTGTTAGCTACATGCGAGATACCTTGCAATAGAGAATGCTGTATAGTACCTATAACGCGTTTCAGCCGGGCGAGATATTATGTTTGGTCCGTTACACACACACGAACACACACACACACACACACACACACACACACACACACACACACACACAGACACACACACACACACACACACACACACACGGACATGGGCAATCCTACAGGTCGGGGCCCCCCTGGGCGCTTCGCGCTGTGGCCCCGCCCAAAAAGAAGTGACACAGACCAGTGACAGTGACAGTGACAGTGAGGGACCTATGGGAAAACGAACGAACGGGTTTCGGGACGTCAAAGATCAAGGTCGGTGCCTTAAAGTTACTACGGGCTAAAAGTATGTAGGCTCCGCACGGTAGCTCAGCAGTCCTCTACGATGATTCACCGTACAGCGGTACGCATGACGAGCTCGAAAAGTACATTCTTTCCTTTCTACCCACAGCCCTCTGTCCCCACGCCAGCTGCATCATCGTACCGTCCTCCGAAACCACTTTGCTCGTAACTGCGATAATCGCAGGAGAACTGTTAGGGTATCAACCGCTTAAGCTTTGCGCCGCTTCAGGAAATGCCCGCTATGAACTTAACAACATACTGTGTGTGTGTTACACACACAACAACATACGAGTTCAGCGATTCGCATATGGGCCGGGCCGGGTCGTAGGCGAACTCCGGGTTCCTCCAACAGTTGCGTGAAGGGAGGGGTGGGCGGTCAGCAGCGTCCATCCTCGAAGCCGCTGGGCAGAAGACGCAGGGGCTTCACTGCCGGGGGCCTTTCTCGTTGACCAGAGGTTTGTTACGGTATTCAATTTATCATATGTTTAGGGTTGCAGAAATTATTAGAATGGCAGGCGTTCTCTACTAATTCTAATATTATTTCTAATTAGAACGTTAGAAATAATATTAGAAGACCTGGGGTAACTTCTCAGGGAGGGGGACTTTTCACTTCGGAGTTTCACCATGGTTACGGCAGATGCTAACCCAGGTGTTTTTAGCGGTTTTTACGGGGCTACGACACCCGTAAGCAGGACTTCTCAGCCAAACCCCCGGTCGAAGTGACCTCTGGGTCACTAATTTCGCCTTTAAACTGTCTTAGACTGTCTTGAACTGTCTCTGCGTACGCCTTCCCAACATCTTTGGTACCTGAACCAAGAGTCCAAGAGTCCAGTCCTGATTGTCTGCAAAGCAACACCCAACACACAGTCCGGACATGCCAAACCTGTCGCCCCAAAACTTCTAGCAAAATCCTCATCAACTCATGCAAATTGCCCCAAGGCTTCCACGGCCCCTTCCTTCACTCCCCCTGCACGTCCAGCCCCTCCAGCAGCTGCATCAGCACCTCCTCATCCTTCCCACCCCGCTCCATCTGCAAGGCCTTCCGGTTCTGCCGGATGTAAATCAGCTTCTCTGCACGCTCCTTGCCCAGCCGGTTGCGGGCCTTGTCTGCTGCCTTGTTGTGCTTCTTAAGATGGTTGGGAGCTGTTGCAGACGGATTTTTGGCACCCAGCACCTCGCCGCAAATGGTGCACTTCAGCTTCATGACTCTTTCTGTCAAGATCACGGTGAAAAACGACCACCAGGAAGCACTGCCTCTTGCTTTTGCACTCTTCAGGGCTTCCGCGTAGGCTGGAGCGTCTAGCTCCTTGTTGCCATAAGTGTATGTTGCTTTAGGAGTCTTCGAAACTGGTGGTTTTGATGGCCCAGCATCAGCATCAGCCATTTTTCCTAGAAAAATGTGCCGTTGCAGGCTGCGGAGGCGGTCTGAATAGCCATTCTAATGGGTGTACGACATTAGAACGTTCTAATCTGTTCTCAAGGGGTCTTCTAACTTTCTCATTAGAATTCTAATTAGTTTAATTGTAATATTATTTGTAATTTCTAATGCGCCAACAACCATACATATGTTATATCGGATGCCCTGATGCCTACCCGCCCCTTCTGCCTTCCTGTCTAGCCGGAGAAGTTTCTGTGCATCTGGCACCGGAGGGAAGTCCCTTACTCACCACGATATATCACCACATGGCTTCAGTCGCTCTGATGACCTTTCGAAGCGGTAACGAACCGTCATCTATTTGAAAACGCAGGAGCTGTCCGGAGGCGAGGAAAGAATAGGCTTGTGCCTTCTCATTAGCTTTTTGAGCAGAGAGGCACTGTTAATAGAACCGGCGCAAAGTTCGGAATTCGGGAGCTGCGTATACATAATCAAAGAAGCCTCGAAAATGCGTTTTCGTTCAGACTTTTACATATGGCCGAAGCAAAAACAGGCAGCCAGGAATTCGGCGCATCCCGGGCATATGGCAATCCGGGTGGATAAATACTCATACATATATTAAGTACAAGAGCTGCAATCTAAAAATTAGACCCAAAGACCGGACTAATAACCAGGAAGCAGCTCCAACAGGCACCGCCCCGCCTATAGCCGCAATCGCAAGCGGCGGCGGCCGGGCGGCGATTTGCTCCTTGGTGGTGTATCGATGGGGAACCACATAAGATAAGAATACCAGCAGCAGCCAAAAGTGGCTTAGCCTCGAGAAAATGGGAGGCCGCGAGGCCCCGAGAAAATTGCAGCGCCGCATCTCACCACACGCTAAATAGCAGGCCGTAGCAGAGACATAACGCAACATAGGCGCCCTTTGTTTATGTCAGCAGGAAAAAGCACGTGTGCACGTGCACATGCGCGTCTTGAGTATTATTTATTTATTTATGTGTTTATGTATGTGGATATCCAGTTCCTTAAAATTTGCAGCCCTGGAGGCGCATCGGAAGCGTACAGATCAGTTCCTGGGCCGTGCCGGCATTTCTTCAACTGGCTGCATGTACACCAAAACCTGACAGACAGATCAGACGACGGCCCACATCACATTTCTCGCCGCAACGGAAAAAAAGAGTCCGTCCAGTCCGTCTTTCCTCCTTCTCCTCCCGCACCAACGGCCAACGTGTTGCTGATCATCTCTTATCATTTATTCGCGCCAAAAAGGAAAACTGAATCGCCAGCAGCAGTAAAAAGGGCGGAAAACAACCCAGAAAGCATATTCGATTTCGATACGAAAATGCACGAGGCGTAAGATCACGCAATGCCGGGCCACGCATAGGCCGCCCTCCTTCCCCTCTTTCCAACTAGATTACTCCGCATTTGCCTGGGCCCCCAAGGGACACTGCTCACCTCACAGATTTGTCTGCCCCTCCCCTCCCAGGTGACAAGAAACCCTAAGACCTTTTCATCTCGCGCTCCCCCTCCATCGCCATCTCGACTACCATCAAGCTTGACTCCCTGACATACATAATAAACACACACACACTCACATATCCATCCCGGGTGCTCATCGGGGTTGAAACGCAGACAGAGCACCCCGGGGAGTCCGGCGCCTCCCCTCCCCTCCCCTCCCCTACTACTACACGCCTCCCTTCAGCCCCAAATCGCGCTCTCACGCACCCCACCTTGGCTGATCCTGTCCTGTCCTGTCCTGGTATCGCGACACAGATTACTAAAAGCCATAAGCGACCTCTCAAGACCGTCCTGATGGCCATCAACCAACCAACCAATCCAACCGTACAACCACCTACCTACCAACTGTTTCCCAGTCGACAACTTCCCCTCCTACGTGCCTCTTACGGCAAAACAGCGATCACCCAGGGGGAGCTTAGTCATCACGCATCATCACGCTTAACCGTCTCATTGCCCCTCTCACGGGTTGGTGTTAATAACCCTAACACTAATAATCCATAAACCCTAATCCCCCTAAAAAGCACCGCCAAGACAACCACTCGCGACCTAACCCCCGCACCCGCTCCACACGCAAATGATGGATCTCTGCTTTGCAAACACAGTTGCACATATTACAGCCCCACAGAAGCCGCAAAGCGGACGCAGCCAACTAACTTACCATACATACATACAGGCAGGCGGCTGGCAGAGGTTAAGGCCTGACTTCTGCTCCCAGTTGACCCAGTCGACCCGGGTTCAAATCCGCCTGCCGGCTCCTCGGGTGTTTGAGGAGTGATGAAATGGGAGGTGGCCCCCCATCTTATGGACGGTGTAGGACGTGATAATATCAACTTGCGAGCTGACCAGGAACTAAGTTGATGCGCCGTTGATCCGCTAGATTTGGTTGGATGCTGGTGGTGAGTTGCCGAACTCAACGAATACATTCTGAAGTCGGATGGGGTGACGGATTAGGGTGCCCCTCTAGCAGGGGAGAGCAGGGACTGCCCCGGGAAAGGGGGCCGCTGGCGAAGTTAACCACCCTGTAACAACATACATACATACAATGACCTGTTCGGGTTGCTCCTAACCTATAACATAACAGCAATGATAATGATAATAATTAGTTATACTAATAACATAATAATAATAATAATGACTGCCGCCATATGGCACATCATCATCCGCCACCACTGCAGCTGCTATACTGCTACTGCTGCTGCGTTTAGCAGTGTTAGGGTTTTAGTAGGACAGGGCACCACCGCAACCTAGGGCCCTAGGTGCAAACGCAATGCAACACCGGAACCGGGGCTCCACACACACAAGTACGTGTGTGTGTATGTGCGTGTGTGTGTACGAGGGGGGCAGGCAGACCTCCAGCCACCCGACCAGACCACACGCCCCCAGGCTGCCCGTCGCCGTCAGTACGCACCCCGCCATGCACCCCGGCATGGTGGTGCCATCTAGGTGACCAGGTGACGTCACCACGTCATCACGTGCGCGTACCGGCTTGGCCATGGAGGGGCCGCGGCGAGTGCAGCAAAGGGGAAGGAAATTCCCCCCCCCCCTATCGGGGGGGCCTGTCGGGGGCTGTCGGCCGCAACACCAACTAGACGATCACTGTCCACAGAGAGAGAGAGAGAGAGAGAGAGAGAGCGAGAGACGCCGAGTCAAACGTTCATATTCAATTCAACAATCGAAAATTTCGCCAGCTACAGCAGCAGCAGCAGCAGCTACAGCAGGTGAACAGCTGCCACAGCCCCTGGACTGACGTCTCCCCGCCCCGCCAAGCGATAGGACGGAGGGTCGCGATGAGCGCCCAAATCCAAATCATTCAACACACCGCAACCACCAACCACCACCGCAACTGCTGGCAACGTTGCCACCACGTACCACTGCCACCAAACTGCCAAATGCGCGCTACTGCCCAAACTGCTGCAACGCCCTTGTCCTTTCCCTCCCCCCCACTCTGTGTATCGGAAGGCGCATCCCAAGCCCAAGCCCTAAGGCGGGTTTATCTCGATTCAATTACCACCCACTACCCCATCCCTGCAGACATACACACGCACATCCAGACTTTTCCAAACGGATCCCATTAACCAAAAAATCAGCGACACGTCTCCCCCGCCCCCGGGTGGGGGGGATAGCCGTTGACAACAACAGCAGCAGCAGCAACAACAACAAGACGTCTCAGCACTCGCCACACTAGAAGCGGTCTCAGCGCCCTCCCCCGGGGAGATAAACCGCCTCCACCATCATCCCCCTCGTCCACCCGGTTCCATGCCGGTCCGCCAACCAGTATCCGTCCTATCGTCGACTACAGAGTAGCGCGTGCATATCAACCCGCATTGAGGTTCGTATACATACATACATACATACACACAGACGGACAGGAAGGCCGTGTCAGAGACATTATCCATTCACAAAAACGACAAATCTTAAAATCGCAAGACACACACTGCAACGGCCCAAAAGCCAATCCTGGCTTCGATGCGTCCCCTGCGCAGTACGGCGCAGTACTGTACGGCGGCAGCGAATCACCACCCAGCTTCGTAAAACTTCCTTCTCTCTCTTCACAAACCCCAAGATAAACACACATCTACAACAAAACAAATATAAACAGGCACACACGTTATACTACTTTCATTATATAAACATAACATTGACAAAACAGGTAAAGGTTATAAAGAGCACAGCGGGTAGGGGAGGGGATTTTGGGGGGAGGGGGCAAAAACACCAAAAATATGGAACCATCCGCATCCGCATCGAGTCGGATAGCTACCCCACGCAGTTGTTGTGCAGTGACCACACATATGCACATACATACATACATACATACACACCCCTGGATATCCCCCTTGATGATCCCCTTCATAAAAAACGACGCCGTCTTCATAATTGTCATCGTCATCATTATCACCGTACAGCATCAATTACCCAACCGCTCCCCCTCCCCAACGCTGCGCGCTCTCCATGTTGCGCAGCTGCTGCTACTGCTGCTGCTACACCTTCTCAATTGCCGTCAACGTTGTCATGACGACGCCCCAGAAAAGTGATGACTCCCTCCCTTCCCCCCCCCACACAGCAGGAAAAACAGAGAACGTAGAGAGAGAGAGAGACACCTTTACATTATCCACCCATCCATTCACCATTCTCTTCAACCAGTCCAACACCAAGACGCGGCCAGCATCCCCCCCCCCCAACACACACCTCACATCACATCACACCCGTTTCTCATACACCACCACCATACATCCCCCCCCCCCCACACACCCAAACCTCACAGCTCACTACCCCTCGCGTTGTCCCCAACACCCCGTGACCCTAAAACCCCAACATCAAGAACCCCTTCCCCCCAAACCCTCCATCTTTTGAAACGCAAACAGGCTCCTCCTCCTCCTCCTCCCCCTCCAACAGAGTTTCCAAATCACCCAACTCCATCACACACACCCCAAGAGCCACCCCACCCCATCACCCCACCACCACCCGCCTACTCATCTCACTCACTCGCAGCAGCAGTGGTGGTGGTGACCAAGACCCTCCTCCTCCACCTTCACCTCCTTCACCGGGGGGCTTTCCCCCCCCGGCTCCCCACCCGACTCGAACCCCCCGGGCAGACGAGCCTCCAACAACACCGCGGCCGCCATGTAAAACTCTTCTGGGCTACTGAAGGGGAACAGCCGCATGTCGGGAGCCGCCAGCAGCGGATTGCCCCCCAGATTGCCCCCCAGATTGCGGGCAGATGGAGCTGTAGCGCTCCCGCCACCGCAATTACCACCATCATTGCCACTATCCCCTGACGGATGGCGATCAACCCCTAAATATTTCCCTAGGCCGTCGCCGCCACCAACACCACCTCCTGCCAGTGGAAACAATCGCGATGATGACCGAAGCGGCAACGGCAAGGAGGAGTAACCCTTGTCTGCGTGCCAAACAGCGCCGCCAGCCGCCACAGCCGGCGCACTACCGGACCCCCTCGTACTCCCAGCTCCTAGCAACGCGGCCTGGCTGACGGCTGACGGCGGCGGGTGCGGGATGGCGGCGGAGCTCTGGGAGCAGGGGTTGACGGAGGACTGGAAGATACTCGCCCTCGCAGCTACCGCCGCAGCGGCGGCAGCACAAGCACCGCCGCCGCCAGCTGCTACTGCCGCAACCACCGCGTGACCGTCGCCGCTTCTGAGTTCTTCTGCCGATGTTGCCGCCGCCCATGCTGAGCTGTTGGCGCCCGGTAGCGCCAATAGGTACTCGGCGCCCTGTGGGGGCTGATCGACAAGTTGATGGCAGTGGTGATTGTAGCGGAAGCTGCCGCCGCCGCCAAAGTACCGGCCCGCAATGCTCGAGTGCTGCGCCGCCGCCGCCGCCGCCAGCGACGCCTGCTCCTCCGCAAACTCAAACAGCGAGGAGTTGCATCTCGAGAACGACGACCCATGTGACGGCGGCGGCGGCGCTGGTGCAAGGGGCTGCTGCTCCTGCTGCGGGGGCTGGTGGTGGTGAGGAAGCCACACGCAGGAGGACGATGACAGGCTGTGGCAGGACGACAGAGACGATGCCGCCGCCGCCGCCGTATCGCAACCAGTCAGGTGACCCCCCTGCGGTCGGACCTTGTAAATCCTGCCGCCCAGGAGAGACCCGGACGCCCCGGAGGGTGCCGAGGCGGTGGCGCAGCCCAACCCGGTAGGGGAGGTGGCTTGGGAGGGCGACGTGGCGGGCCCCCACCAACAGCCCCCTCCTCCTCCCCCGCCCCCTCCTCCTCCTCCTCCACCTCCTGCTGCTGGTTGCTGATTCCCCCCGGCTGGGAGCCCCTGATGGTGGTGGTTGTTATGGTTGTGTAACTCCGAGGAGTATGAGGGGGAGGGGGAGGGGGAGCAGGCAAGCAGGTACCTAGAGCCGCTCAGGGCCCTATCCAGGAGGTGCAGGGCGGCCGAGTCCAGGGAGGACAAGCGGCCCAGGCTCCCCAAACAGGGGGCCGCCACATCGCATCTGCCGCCGCTGCTGCCATCGCCTCCTCCCGCACGCCCTGTTGCCGGAATGCTGGTGCCCCCCTGTTGCCCTTGTTGCTGGTAGTGGTGGTGGTAGTGGTGGTGGTCTTGCAGGTCTGAAGGGAGACGAGAAAGGGGCGCGAGGGGCCCCAGAGCACATAGAGCCGTACCGGCAGCCGCTGCGGCACTGTTGTTGTTGTTGTTCTCCTCCTCCTGCTCCTCCTCCTCGCCCTCCTCTTCTTCTTGCTGCAAGTCCAAGTTGCCCAACAGTTGGTGGCGGTCGGGAGACGCTGTTGGGGGAAACCCAACCGAAGAGGAGGAGGCGGAGGCGGCGGGAACGGTCAACAAAGACAGCACCTCCTGCGCCGCAAACAAAAAAGGGTGGGGGTTTTAGCGGGTTTTGAAAGCGGTTTTTTGGTTGAGCAGAACCACCGTGTTGAACTCACAGCTCAGCTTTTCGTCTTCCACACCTCCAATGTACGAACAAAGCACAAACCCCCCTTCCCCGTACCTGCCCCAGCCCCCTCACCGGCAGCACGTGGGTGTATTCCTTCGACAGGCTTCGCAGCAAACGGCCCCCGTGAACACGGCGGTCCATCGCCTCCAGTCGCCCGCCGCCGTGCTGCTTGCACTCGCAGGTTGCGGCGGCGGCGGCAGAGGCCCCCGCCTCGAGACACCCGCCACCGCCACTTCCACCACAGCCGAAACTGCTGCGGCAAGATGCTGCTGCTGCTGCTCCTGCTGCTGGTCCTGCCGGTCCTGATGCTGATGCTGCTGCTGCTAGGGGTGCCTGTGTGGGTTCCGGAGCTGGAGGCAGAGAGCTGCGGCTGCTGCTGTCATTGTCATTGTCGTGAGCATAGTCGTCGTCGTCGTCCTCGGCATTGAGCTGAGGGCGGGACGCGCTGATCTGAAATGCGCTGCGGAGGGCAGTGCTGGCGGCGGCGGCGGTGGCCGTGACGGTGGTGGTAACCGTGGTGGTGGTGGTGGTGACGGTGGTGGTGGTGGCAACGGAAGTCTGCACGGGATTTTCATTCGATGTGGATGATGGCGTGGATATAATAACGTTTATGGATGGAGGATTGGATCGGATCAGGAGGCAGAGGCAGGTGGATGGGAGTTGGAGATGGAGGGTAAGTTGGTTGTAGGTTGGGATACTGTTGTGGAAATGGCGGTGGGTAAGGTGAGTGACGGGACAGAGAGTTTGGAACGTAAGAGGAAACATGAGATAAAAAGCAAAACTGGATAAATTGAGGAAGGTTCCTGTTGCTATTATGTACGTGTGGCGAAGTTGTATGGCATGTCCTTGTAATGTCATTGTATTCTCGATGCTGAGGGTTGCGAGGACAGGTCGCAAAGGTCGCAAGGGAACGAATATAGTATTTAATGGAAAATGGCTGACCTGCAGAGAAGCTGTGTTAGGGGTCGACGGCGCCGGAATGCGGCAGGCGCTGCCTCGAGGCGCCAATCGTGGATCTCCAAACCGAAGGCCACCTGCCGCGGAGTGGCGACCCAGCCGCACACGGCTGTCGCTTATACCTGATGAAAGTCCGCCACGTACGCATCGCTCAAGTAGATTGGTGTTAAACTCCTGTGCGCTGAAGCTGCGACCCAGGCGAGAAGGATGCCGTCTCGCCGGACCCCAATAGCAACCTCCGTGGACCACAGCGTAATCAACGTCGTCCTTTGGGACCTGCATAGGCGGTAGGAGGAGCGCCTTCAGCCGCGCGCCTTTTTGGGAAAGGACCTGCAGGAATTGTGCAAGCGCAACATAAACGCATGCAACCCACCGACGCAGCGGGCAGACAATTCACTTCTTTTAATGTCCAGAACTCCCGCAGAAGTTTGGCATCAATGGGAAGAAGGCTTGCGTTGGGCTGCTCGGCTCTGGAGGTACAAGGAGGGTACTCGACTTGAAGGCTTTCTTCCACAGGACGAACGCCAATAGAAAGAAATCTACAGATCGCAAAAAGAAAGGAGGAAGGTGACACGCACATGATCAGCACGAGGGGGTGGTATGAGCACGACGACTCCGCAGAACCAATCCAGAAGCCTCAAACGCTTCACAATTGCGGTATTTGTATGTAACGGATGAACGCCCAATTCATCATTACCGTTCAAACTTGCGAGAAGGCAAATGCGCCGACGGCGGCGACAGAGCTTGAGCCTCAACTCGGCCCTCCATCATGTCCTTGCGTGCTGCAATGGAATCTTGCAGTAACACGAGACAATTTTGTTATTCCTTAGGCCACAAGGATGGACAGACTGCCATCACATGGGCTGACTATCAGTATCATGTGCCAACCTGTCGTACCAAATTGCTCATCGGAGAGCATGTTTTCTTCTGGAACCTTATATAGCGCAATGCATAAGTACTTTGTAAAGGGCGTGGAGGGGTTGTTAATAAAGCTGTCGCCTTACGCAACTTGATAATGACGGACGGTTACGAATAACCAGCGTTTTGTGCCCTGCGCAAAAACCATTATGGAGGTTAGCTGTTTGTTGACGCATGCGCATGGAGGTTTCTTGCTACGGACCTTAGCCAAAAGCAACTCCCTGTTGGACGGGCGGTTAAGGAATTCTGATTACTTCTTTACTGTGCCTGCTTGACCTTGTAGATATAGACCTAATTCCATGGCTGACTTCTACATTTTTTTGATTGGACCTTCCTCTTCCCTGACCAGCCTGTAGTGCAAGCATCGAGTCGCTTTAAACGGCCAGGTGCAGGAATGCACCGGTGCCAGATTTCTAAGCAAGACAGCACTAGACCCTTGCACAGCCTTCCTGCATTGTCAACTTCCTTTCCCAACTGCGACTCTTCGGCTCCCGCGACCGCAACCTTCCGCATCCTTGTATGCACCACCTTCCGAAGATCACAGTTTTAATTCCCAGCCAACACCAGGTACTGCGAACGTTATCGATAAGGAAACTCTTCCCCATCGGCACTCTACAATCCGCTGCACTACACCGTATAATCGGCTGCACCAGACGGCTGCGCAACACGCGCGCCCGCACTGAGCCTCTAGGCCTCCAGCGCCTCAACCCGCACACATGGTAGCGCGAACACCCGCACACCTCCCCAGTGAGACAGCTCCTGCCCCAGCGCACTCATACACACTCACACATATCTATCCACACACATATATACATACATATGTACATACATACATACATGCATTGCTGTGACTTCAACGGTCATTAACAGCAGTCGCGGTGGAAGTGGCACCTGTGGATACTGATGCGGACAATCCCGGATCGGGCTATCGGTGTTTGATGTGTGTATGATGTGATTGTGGCATAAAGCGCTGTTCCTCCTCCTCCTGTTCCTCGGTCAGCGGCCAGCGAGACAGGAAATCCGCAAGCGTTGAAGCGGACGTTGCAACAAGTCGGGTGTCGGCTTCCTCGAAGCCGGAAAAAGGGCGGGCCCCCCTGCATCCGCACAGGCCGGTAGCTAGCGCGGCACGTGTGACAATTGATGGGTCGTGTCAACGCGGTGGGAGATGTGCTTTGTTGCAGCAGTGCTGATGGTGTGAGAGCTAAGCTTGCACCGGCGGAATCGTCATTACCGCCTGCGGGCTCCACGCGAATCGCATCCATCCCGGGTGCATGCCGCATGGACAGTGCGGCAGACCGCAAGTTGGAATGCCCGTGCGGGCAAATGGTAACGAAAGCTGGGTGAATTTCGATGCTGTCTGTGATGTTTATCCCCGAAGCGCCAGCGGCCTCAGCAATCCGCCCCACAGCCGCGGGCTTCATCGGGGCACACCGCAAGTCTCCGGAGGCCCCGAGCATTGGCTAAAGTAAATGTACAAATGAGCAGCTTGCGTATTTTATAGAGAAATGTAAGCAAATTTGTCGGCCTGCTGGTGGCAAGTCGGAATGCCCGTGCGGGCAAATGGTAACACAAGCTGGATGTTCAAGTTATCATACGCTGTCATCTCGGAAATTAATGATGAGATAAACGGCACCTTTTTGAGATGAAATTTAGCCCGAGAGGCGTTGATGTGACTATGAGCTCGGTCAATGGAGGCAGCCAAAGTTGTTTGTGCTCATACGATCTTTGTTAGCTACATGCGAGATACCTTGCAATAGAGAATGATATATTGTACCGATAACGCGTTTCAGCCGGGTGAAATATTATGTTTGGTCGGTTACACACTCAAGACCTGGGAGTTTGAGTTATCATACGCCGTCATCTAGGAATTCAAATATGAGATACGCGGTACCTTTTGAGATTAAATTTAGCCCGAGAGGCGTTGATGTGACTTTGGCCTCGGTCAATTGAGGCAGCCAAAGTTGTTTGTGCTCATACGATTTTTGTTGGCTGCAGGCGAGATACCATGCGATAGAGAATGATATATAGTACCTATAACGCGTTTCAGCCGGGCAAGATATTATGTTTGGTCCGTTACACACACACGCACACACGCACACACACACGGACATGGGCAATCCTACAGGTCGGGGCCCCCCTGGGCGCTTCGCGCTGGGGCCCCGCCCAAAAAGGCCCGGATAGGCCTCTTTGCACGACGTGGGCCGACAGCAGCAGCAGCATCAGCAGCAAGAGGGAGGGGGAAATGGAGCGTCAGGGCAGTTGGCGCACAGAGATAGGGAAGAGGGAAGGTGGTGAGGCGAATGCGTATATGCGCAGTGGGGCAGCTGAGCTGCAGGAAGTCCGAGGAATCCCTCAACTTGGCTTCGCTGCGTGAGTGAGTGATAAGCTGCAGCGTCGCGTGCCTGACATGCCGTATGGAAGGATGGAACGTAATGGTTACATGGCATCGAAATTCAAGACTGTTCTTGGTTAATTGCGCCTTGGCATGCTTCGAAAGTGCCAACTTATGCTACTAATAGGATGTCCCTAAGCAACCTTTAAAGTGGATAGGTATCGAACGAGGCGTTCGTACAGCTCATCTTAACGAAAGCCAATCCTTTTTGTACAAGCACTCATATTTACTGCTGGACGAAGATGTGAGGTCTGGTGGATTTACACGAAAGTAATTTTAGAGGTGCGCGTGACGACCGTATTGAAAAGTGCAAGTCATTACAAGTTCATAACAAACGATTTCAATTATTACATGTTACAGGATGTAGTGATTGTAGAATCATTGACAAGCTGCACTACAAACTGCTCAAGGCTGCACTCATTTTGCAGACGTTGGAAACTCGTCGACAAACAAACTATAAACATCACTGCAACAGGCAGGGTAAAGGTTGTTAGACAATGTTCCGTTTCTTATTTTAATAGTAAGCGCTGCTAAACTGTTGGGGCGCAATACCGCTAAGCTAGGGCTTTGACGAGCTATTAGTAACGCATGGAAAAGAAAGCTTCAATAAAACTGATGTTCACCTATGGTTAAACTATTAATTTTTTGTTCAGCGTGACCAGATGTCTTTTTTACCGAACAGTGACCTAGTTTACTAATTAGGGTTTGTACGGACGCCCACGTGCAATATAGCAGCGCTTCTTTCACTTTTTTAGATAACCCGTAGCAACCTGCTTACTTTCCCTGGATATCGAGTGTTATTTCTGGCATATGATCAAGTCATTCTCGTTGCCGAGACGGAAGAGAGCTTGCAAGGGCCCACGTGGCTGTCAGGACGCCGCGTGATACCTAGCTTTAAGGGGTAAGCATTTTGGTAGTGCAGCTGGGGCTATGGATTTGGACACGCTGGTGGCGGACGGCGCTTTCGCAGATTTATTTTAATCGAATCTAGCTGCGCTTGCGTTCGCACATGACATCTGTTAATAAATAGTTCTAGGTCATTTACCGTTGAGCAGCTCCAATTGTGTCAATTGGATTATGATTTGCATTACGCCCATCAGCTAACGCTTGAATCATTTTTATCCTGCAAACTTGCGTTTTGCTACCTGCGGATTAACCTTGATTGCATTGATCAATCAACCAAATCTTTAACCTGGCGTCAAAATGTGCGGCAGGTCTTCATCATTCCCATGACCATGACCATGCAAGCTGCCTTCGAGGACTTCCGGTCACAGGACGATGTAGATACAGATATGCACGATCTATTCTTCCTGCTTAGCGCAGCGTCCGACTCTACGGACGATGTATCGGAGCCGCCCGTTGAGGGTCCGGGATGCCCGACATCCCAGCACGACGCGCCTTCGCCGCTGGGATCCAGCCCGGAAAACTATTGCTTCCCTGGCATGCTCCGGACTCCGTGCGACCTTCCTGCTGACTTTATGATCAAACAAGAGCCTGTCAACAACGAAGCGGTTGGCCATGTCGAGCACGCTTGCGAAATGGCTCAGCGCTGCACGAGCTCCTCCTCTGTCGGCTGTCCCCCTTCCGCGAACACAGCAGCTACTTCCGGCGGCTCACCTTTTCAACTATCTGCCCTAAGTATTTCCTTTCCAGGAACCACACCCGAACCGCCGGCTCTTCCGGTCCCGGAAATTGCCGATCAGCAGCAACATCAGCAGCAGCCGCCGCCGCAGGAACAGCCGCAGCGAAGTCAACCTGCAGGGCCGTCATGTCACAACGTCACATCCTTAAATTCGACACCCAATCCAGAGTATTCGGCGGTGGCGGCAGCGGCCGCACTGCCCGGTGCAGCGGGCCTTTCGGAGCTTGATGACATAATGACGCGGTCCGACTCGATGGATGCACTGTACGATGCCGTACGGAGCAAGTCCTCGCGTTCCTTCGGTCGTACTTCCTCCAAGAAGCCGCCGATGTCTCACAGTACAATCGAAAAGCACCGCCGCGACCGCATCAACCACCTGATTGAGGAGCTTGGTGAGATGGTGCCGCCGTTGGACCCCAGGTACCGCGGCGAGGGGGTGGACGCCTCAGGTGCGCAACACAGGGTTTTGTGTACGACTAAGTGGACGAATTTGGTAGGATTGGGTGGGCTTGTGTACGACAGAGTGGGGTTGCATGGGAGAGGGAAGGAGAAAGGGGGAGTTGCTTCGCGGCGGGCTTCCTACCTACCTACCTACGTACCTCCGTTATAGCGACCTCTCTCTGTACTGCTACTGGTACAGCTACTGCTACAATAACACTACTGCTGATACTGTTGCTGCTACTGCTATTGCTGCTACTGCTATTGCTGCTACTGCTAACGCTGCTGCTGCTATTGCTGCTACTGCTATTGCTGCTACTGTTATTCTGCTACTGCTATTGCTGCTACTGTTATTCTGCTACTGCTATTGCTGCTACTGCTATTGCTGCTACTACTATTGCTGCTACTGCTATTGCTGCTACTGCTATTGCTGCTACTGCTATTGCTGCTACTGCTATTGCTGCTGCTGCTATTGCTGCTACTGCTATTGCTGCTACTGCTATTGCTGCTAACGCTATTGCTGCTACTGCTAACGCTGCTACTGCTATTGCTGCTACTGCTATTGCTGCTACTGCTATTGCTACTGCTATTGCTGTCACTGGGATGGCCGCAGGCTTGAAGCGGCCCAAGCACGCCGTCTTGGCGGACGTCGTGTCCCGATATCGCCAGCTGCAAATGGAGAACGAGAACCTTCGCCGCCAGCTCAGTGGCGTCGCGGGGCTTCAAACCACCACATCCGGAACTTGCGGATCTGGATTTGGATCTCCCGAGCATTCAGGAGGAGCTTCTGGATCCAGATCCAGCAAGCAAGCTCCGGCAGTGCAGTCGCCGCCTGCGGATTCATGCGAGCCAGCGCAACATCATCGGCCGTCGCCGCCGCCACCGTCAACTACTCCTGACGGCGCCGTCGGCAGCGGCCAGTCGTCCATCGTACCTGCCGTATATTTACCGAGCCCAATTACGCAAGGGCTTGCTTGTCCCGTCGCCGCTGCCACCGCCGCCGCCGCTGGCTCCTTCACTGGCGGCGCTGCTGCTAATACCGCCGCTGCCACCGCCGCCGCTGGCTCCTTCACTGGCGGCGCTGCTGCTAATACCGCCGCTGCCGCCGCCGCCGCCGTTGGCTCCTTCACTGGCGGCGCTGCTGCTAATACCGCCGCCACCGCTGCCGCCGTGTCTTCGCTTCTATCGCACGCCGCTGCGAGCGGCGCCTCAAACGCGCAGCTGCAGGCGGCGTTGAGTTTCCCTCTTATAAAGGCGGCAGCAGCAGCAGCAGCAGCCGCCGCCGCCGGGGGAGCGGTGGTGCCGCTGCCTGGATTCGTACCGGTGGCCACGACAGCACCCCACGGGGCCCACGCCGCCGCCGCCCCCACGGGCCTCTGCAGCCGTTACACCACCGCGGCCGCCGCCGCCGCCGCCGCTGCAGCGCCAGGTAATGGTGCTCAGGCGCAGCGGCTGACGGCGGTGGCACTGGCTGCGACGGCGGCGGCGGCTGGGAAGCCGCCAGCGAGCTCCGATGCTGCCCCTGGCCATCAAAGCGCCTCTCCGTCGGTCTTTGCCGGCGATTGTACGGCCGCCCCTGCTGCCGTACAAACCTCACCGCACGCCTCCGACACAAGGACGAGCCGCGGCGGCGGCGGCGGCGGCGTCAGTGACGGCACAGGCCTGACGGCCGCGCTCGCTGACAGCGGCGACCCTTGGGCCTCTGACGGCTCCGTCTCGAGTTCAACTGAGGTACACGTCTGCCGTACCAGCACCGCCGCCGCCAAGCCAAAGCCGTTCGCCGCCGCTGCTGCTGCCGTCGCTGCAACGCCAAGTCACGCCACATCTTCAAGGACGCCACCGCCCTGCACGGTGAGCGACGACAGCTTGCAGCTACAACAACAACAACAGCAACAACAACAACAGCAACAACACGCCCCCCGCCGCACTCATCTTCGCTCGCACCACCACCACCACCACCAGCACCAACACCAGCACCACCACCAGCGCCCAGGGCGCGAGCCCGCCCCACCTCGTTCTCCTGATTCCTCCATCACGCCGGGGCCGCCCAGTACCGCCACCGCCGCCGACGCCGCCACTTCTTCCTGGCTTGTACGGGTCGTATGTCCGCCGCGCAAGGACCTCTTGGCGGCGGCGTGTACGGCACTGTCTGACGCTGGCGTCAGTCTCCGCTCCGCCAGGACGACGTCAGCCGCGGGGGGTCGCATGGCGCTAGAGCTGGAGGTGAGCTATGACGGGGGAGAGGTGCCCCGGGGGGCGGTGGTGGGGCACATCCAGTGCGCCGTACACGCCGCGCTGCAGGACAGCGCAGATACACTGGAAGCGGCGGCGGCGGCGGCGGAGCAGCAGCAGCAGCAGCAGCAGCAGCAGGAGGAGGAGGAGCCGGCGCCAGCGCCAGCAAAGTCGCGGGGTTGCGCCGCGGCGGCAGGCGGCAGCAGGGTGGTGAAGCGCATGCGAGTGTAAATGGATGCGGCGGTCGTGGCGCACGGGTAATGCCGTACTGCAGTGTCGTACTGTCTGGGCTTGTGTGTTACTGCTGCCTTCCGCTGCCTCCCCCTGGACCCCCCGCCGGATGGATCAATCCGCGTCCGTCCACATGGAAGGGGACGTAGCCCAGCTCGGCTGTCTAGCAGGTCTTCTCCGTCTGCGGCGGTGTGTGTATGTATGTCTGTATGTAGGTCGCTCGGTCAGTCGGTCGCCATTGCCGTCCTGCCGATGTTTGCATAAGGCCCTCGTCTGGGATAAAAAGATAGAGAGATATAGATAGATAGAGAGAGAGAGAGAGAGAGAGAGAGAGAGAACAACACCCCGGGAATATCAAATGCCACTCGAATTATGAGTCGACGACGGATGTGACCAAGTAGTTTTACTTGGGAGCATGTACAACAACAGCAAAGTAATGAATGGTTTGAGAAAATCAAAAGAGGGAGCGAGAGAAAGTCGTAGCAGCCGCCCGCACGTGCCTTGTCTCGGGGGGGGGGGGGGAAAGAGGGGGGAGGTTGCCCCGGGAGGAAGCTCTAGCACGAAGATGTGTACGTGTACTAATTTGTCGTGCACAGGCGTTATTATCGTACGCCACGGTATTATCGTACGTATTATACGGTATTATCGTACGCCACGGTAACCTTTTCCACCTCGGATGTCGTACGTCGTCCTTAGTCTTGTTCCGGTGCACATTGTCCGTGACCCATATGACATGTCAACAACACGCACGCCGGTGCAGTTGCAGTTTTCTTTTCGTAATCCGCCGTCGCCTCATCGTCAATCAGCATCAGTGTGATTGTTGAACGGAAGCTGCCCCCGCTCGTGTGCAGGATGTGCTTCGTTTCGTTTCGATTGAGAAAAGGAATGTACGGCGGGTTTTGTTTTGCGGATGTGTACCGATGACGATGCGAAAACGGAGAAAAAGGGGGAGGCCTGAGAAAAAGTTTGTTAGCTTGGGAATATATGATGTAATGTGTGATATAATAATATATATAATATATGTGTGTGACCGACAAAAAACAATGCCTCTGCAACAGCAGCGGCAGTAGTCGATCCTAATTAGGACTCGTATGTGGGGGACCTATCTTCCCCCCCAAAACACACACACACAGGTCTATGTCATTCAGTGTGGGTTGGACCAACGGTATTGGTACGGCACTAACTGTATTTCGTGAGCCCAGTGGGTTAGTGGTTGGTCTTCCGGCAGTTGGGCGGTTGGTTTGTTCATTGCTGACTCCGCCACAACCCTGCCCGAAGCGGTTACTGCAACTGTGCGCCGTACACTCAGCAGCACGAGGCGTAGGTTGCTGCTGCTGCTACTGCTGCTGCTACTGCTGCTGCTACTGCTGCTGCTACTGCTGCTGCAATGCAATGCGCTGAGCTGCGCTGTTCATTTTCTTGCGGGGTTCACCATTGGGGTGATTTCACCCCATTCTCCCGCCCCCCCGCAGAAAGTGTCCCCTTGTTTCTGTATAATGTATTTTGAATGTGCACCTGTATGTGCACCTGTATGTGTATGTGTATGTGCATGTGCATGTGTTCGCGTCTGTTTGGTGATGGTGATGATGATGGTGGTGGGGATGGTGGTGGGGATGGTGGTGGGGATGGTGATGATGATGGTGATGGTTATGGTGATGATGATGGTGATGATGATGGTGATGATGATGATGATGGTGATGATGATGATGATGATGATGCTGTATTGATATGATACGGCAGGGTACGGCGGGGTCTGGGGGTGCGTCGGGGTGGTTTAAGGAGCGCCTTGACGCACGATCCCGTACTACAGTGCGATCCCGTACGGCGCCGTACATTGGGGGTTACATGTTCAGTATCGTTTATATTGGGTTCTATTCTATTCGGGTTCACATTCAAACAAATTTGAAAATTGGCTGATGAGGCATATGCCGCCGCTGCGAAATGCTGGCCGGCCTGTTGTGTGGGGGGTTAGTTATCAGGCAAAAAGCTGCTGCTGCTGCTGCTGCTGCTGCTGCTGCTGCTGCTGCTGCTGCTGCTGCTGCTGCTGCTGCAGGTAATAGAATAGCAGTAACAGAAATGCCGGTAGTCGCTGGCCGCGCAGGTAAAGCCACTAAAAATTCCCCTTTACCCTGGGTGCGGGTGCGGGTGTGGGTGCGGGGCAAAGGGCGAAGGGCGAAGGGCGGGGGCTTGCGGGAATGTGCGCCGGTGGGCCCGCCTGGCGGTATGACGGAATCTGCCGCAACGGCTGCTGATATTCGGCGGCTGGAATATTCACAGTCAGTTAGTTTGTTAAATTAGTTAAAACTCACATTATTAGTTGTCGTGAGGAGATTTCCAGATGACTTTGCGGCCGATAGTTGCGTGCGGGGTGGTGGGGTGGGGGCCCCAGGGGTTTCCAGGTCCCCTCTGTGACCCCAAGGGGTCAAAGAAACCAAAGGGGAGGAAGAAGGGCTGCTGCGGCCCCCCGCTGGGGAAACACCGCCACATATGATAGCTGTGCTGAGCTGTGGCGGCCAGTTTTCGGCCGGCGGGGGGCGGCAAGGGGGGCGGGAAGACATAGAGGTTCTTGTTGACCATCTAGCCCTGCCGGCGGCGACCAAGGGGTGCTCCCGGGCGCGTGCGCGCTGCTAATGCCGCCGCAGAGCCCACAATATGTGTGTGTATGTGTGTCCGTGTGTATGTGAATGTGTGTGCGTGCGTGTGTGTGCCAAAGAAAAACAAAGTCGCCAAGTAATACTAATTATTGAGGCCTACTGGTCGGTTGGTGAAGTCATATCGCCTTGCAGAGAATGTCTAGCAGCAAGTTGACATCAGCTTACATCAGAGTAGTGTCGTAGTACGGATAGTACGGACGGACGCTCTGGTGTCTTCCGACGATGAAATTGCGTGGCGGGTGTGTGGCCAGCTGTTGCCTCGTGGTCTGTTGTTGTTTGCTGTGTCTTTTTCTATCTGCATGTAATCTATCTAGTCATGGAAATCTGACTGGATGCGCTGCGTGTGGTAGTGGTGGTGGTGGTGGCCTAATTAGGCTCCGAACGTGCCGTCCTGCCTGGGAGGGATGTCCAGAGCTAATAACTGCCGAATTGGCGATCTTCCGTTTGGGCGGTTGGGAAGAAAGGCTCCATCCGTCGTTCGACGGAACTTAGGCGATGTTGTAAAAGAACGCGATTAGATGTACGCGGTTATGTGAATCTGCCCGTCGAACCCATGTGAAAAGAGTCCGTCGTTGTGCGCGTCGTGATACGCGACCGACCGAAGAGGTTTTCACACATACAGACATACCGGCATTATTATCCAGCACAGACATGCCAGCATGTACGAGCTTATTACGTCGTCATGTACGGCACTTGAGGCCTGTTTGGCTGCTCACGTCGGGGGGGGTGCCCTTTTCCCCCCACGATATGTTGCTGGGTTGTACGGCGGATTGTATTCATATATGAAGAGTTTTTAAAATGGGTTGTTGTTGTTGTTGGAGGAGCAGGGAGACAGGTGTATGTGTATGTATGCCTGTATGTGTGCATGTATGTATGCCTGTATGTGTGCCTGTATGTGTGCATGTATGTATGCCTGTATGTGTGCATGTATGTATGCATGTATGTATGCCTGTATGTATGTATGTATGCCTGTATGTGTAGGTATATGTGTGTGTATGTGTGTTTCAGGTGAAGACGCGTGCGTGCACTGGGGTACCTGGCGAGAAGGGCGAGGGCATGATGGGCTCTTATGATGGGCTAACCGACGTGTCTAACAATATTATTTAAGAAACCCCGTCAGTCTTGTCGGACACAACCGAATGAGGACTTGTGGTGGTGAGATTTTATTTCCCACATGCATGGGCGGCTTGTTGGCCTCCGAGGGGCGGACGGGGTTGTTGTACGACACGTTGGGCGGCTGTGGGAAGATCCCCTTGTCTCTCTGTGACTCTGACTGACATCTCGGAATTCGGAGAAGAGAATTATTTTGTATCGTCGAACTGCCGTCGTCATGCATGCACGTCACCGTCGTCATTTTGACGCAGCAGCCGCAGCAGTTACTCTTCCTTCAAAATTTCTCCCTCAAATATCTCTTTCCTATCTCACTCCGCCGCCCAGATGCCGGTGAGCTCAGGTCGTGAGTGAGAAAACCCTAAAACCTCCTCAACCTAAAGCACACAGACCCCCCCCCACACACACACACACACGCACGCACGCAATGCACAAAAGCGTTTTTTATCCCATTGACACGCAACCCCATCAAAATCCATTATGTCGACTACTACAACACCGTTCTGGGAAGCAGCACATGTGTCCATGGACAGTCTGCAAGTCCGCTCCGCTCCACCCGACCTACACACACACACACAGACACACACCTACACACACACATACACACATACACACACACAGGCCCCAAGGGGTGCGATGACACCCCCGCCCATCGAGTTGAAAGCGTTCGAGCCATCGAGTCATAGTCGTCAAACCCTTAGGGACCTGTCGTCCGCCCACTCACATCGACCTCCCATGCAACAGCCCTAGGTGCAAATGTGCGATGACGGCAAACCCCAAGCCGCACACACCTCGCCACTTGCGGGTACCCCACCCCCCTAGGTTACAAAGACTACCAGAAGCAACCTCGTCCTCACTCGACACCGCAATACACACTGGACTGCACTGACTATGGGGTGCATGGCGCGTGTCGCCTTGGTAGAGCTTTGCCGGTGTGGTGTGGTTTTTATCCATATGAGCCGCTGTGTGCGTGTGTGCATGTATGCCTGTATGTATGTATGTGCGTATATGATGTGTGAAACAGAGGGGTGTATCTTCGCCCGTGGCAGCTACCCTGCGAAACCCTGCCTTCCACGGTATTTCGGGGCACCCTCATCCAGTCACCCCCTAGTCATCTTCTCAGTGGATCGCTCAGGTTCCGCACCCACCACCAGCATCCAACGTAATTTGCCGGGTCGACAGCGGCCCAACTCCATTCCTGGTCGGCCCGCGGGTTAACTTTATCCCAGGTCACCA